ATTAAAAAGTTAAAAAGTCATTATTCTATTTAAATCACATCATCTTATTTAAGTCACATCACTTCTCTATCACATAACTTCAAACCCAATTCATATTTCATAAAAAGTCAAAAAGTACACTTATTTAGGACATCACAAACAACCCCTAACTTTACAACACAAATCACCTTGCTTGTTCTACTTTTCAAAAAATACTTTTTAAAAAATTCTACTTTTTTATTTTTCGTATTTTTTTGTTTTTACTGAATTTTTTAAATATTTTAAACAATTTTTTTACTTTTTAGACACACCTAATATAAATACACTTAAAAAGAAAAAAATTGTAAAAAAAATCTTTTAAAAATTTACTAAATACCAAAAATACAAGAATTCAGTACATTTTTATGTATTTTTATGTATTTATTAATTTTTTAAAATATTTTTTCATAATTTTTTTACTTTTTAGATACATCTAAGTAAGGTGCATTTAAAAAAATAAAAAAAAAATGTTTAAAATTTTAAAAATATTCACTAAAAACAAAAAAAAAATGAAAATCAAAAAAGTCAATTTTCAAAAAACTTAATCCAAAAAACTCAAACCAAACACACTGAATAAGTTTTCCGAAACAGGTTAATTACCTATTGTTCGTGGTTTCAAAAGTTTTGCTGGCGATGAGAGTCGAATATGAAACCTTGGATGGAGCAAACCTCCATACTCTACTATCCTTTATATCTCCCCATACTATATTTCATGGCCCTATCCCAAGCTCACAATGATAATTCGAACAATTCATTTCGTAAACCCATCAGTAAAAATGAGTTGTGCAAAAAATTAGTTTCATATTGTTAGATACATAAACAAATTATATTTTATTTTTTTAAGTAGACGGCGACTATGAATTTAAATTTAAAACTTCAATTTTATAAAATAAAAAATATAATTTTTTTTTATCTATTCATCAATATCTGATGAAATAGATTTTTTGCACAAACTATTTTCATTGAGAGAATTATGAGATAAATGATTCAGATCATCGTTGTGGATCCAAAGTGAAGCTCACGAAATAAAGTATGAAAAAATATTTTTAAAAAATAAATACACAATTTTTATACAAGATATAAAAGAAAATGTTTGAGACCTTTGGAAAAATTTCATAATTTGACTCATAATGATGTGGTATAATAAATGTTCACTTTTGATGATTTGTTAGACACAATAATATAAGGTCTAACCCTCTTACTACATTATTGTGAATGAAGTTATAAATAAAAAATAAAAAAATTTCAAAACTCAACTAAATATAATGAATGAGTTTATTTTCATTTTGAATTAATAAAGATAAATAAAACATATCATTTTATATAAAGTTTCTCCATATAAATTCTAGTTATATAGCATCGTCAATTCTTTTATTTTTAAGATTTTTTTTTTTTTTCGCTTTTCTAAGAAGATGCATGTAATTATGGATTTGTTTGACATTGTGGGTTGATTTTTTAATTTTTTAATTATTTTATTTAAGGTTAAAAAGTTTTGTTTTGAATGAGTTTTTTGATTTTTTTTTTTTAATTTTTGTAAAAAAAAAAGGATTATAATTTGAATATAATATTTTATTTTATTAATTTTTTTATTTATTTTATTATTTTATAACTATTTTAGTCTAAGATTGAAATGTTAAACGAAAGTTTTGTTACAAAAGTCAACTAGTGCTGACAAAGTAGCTTTTATAAATTGTTTTTATTTTGTTTTTAGGTGTGGATATCTAATTATCTATAGTTCGTTTCATATATTCCAAATTCTGAGTGGACTTTGGGCCCATAACATATAGCATAGTCTTGGATGATAATAATTAGGGCATGTCATTTTCCATAGTCCAAATCTTCCAACATATCACATGCATCCCTCCTAATTCATGCCTCTAAACATTGAATAAATGTATTTTGTATGGCTGCCATTTTGGTGATTTGAAATTATTAAGTTTTTTTGTTTTGTTTTTAAGTATTGATTAAAAAGTTAGTTTATTAGATAAAAATAAATTTATAAAAAAATAAGGTTATTTTTTATATTTTAAAAAAAATTCTAATAAATTTTTAAAATGACTAATGTGAGTTTTTTTGATATAAAAGGCTTTATTTTAATGGCATAACAAAATGGTTTTAGTAATTGTTAGATTTGAATAGTTTCATACTTGTTTTTTTGGTGTGAAATTACAATATTATTTTTATAGTATTGTCGAATCCTTGTAAAGATATAGTGAAATTTTTTAAAATATTGAAGATAAAATCATTTTTTAATAAAAAAATTCATAATGTGATGATTCTCTGTTGGCTGGGTCTGCAGTGGTTCAATCAGTAAAAAATTTCTCTAGGATACAGCCATGTTTGGTTTAAATGAAAAACCGAAGGAAGGGCACAGGAAAAAAATATTTTTATATTATATTTTAATTTATTTATTTTTCTTTTGTTATTTTCCACCCAACCAAACAACATGAAAGAATCCCACATTCCCCACTCTCCTTTGTTTGGTTTCCTTCCAACCAAACATAGAAAGTTTTGAAGAGAGGTTAAAGAACATAAAGGAAGGGAAATGAAATCCATTTTTTTTTTTTTATGGGTAATAATCAAACAAAAATAATTGGCAAAAAAATTAATTTTTTTCAACCAAACACCTTTTTTTAGGGCTGAGCAAGCGATCCGTGAAATCCGTAATCCGATCCAGTCCAGTCCAATCCGATAGGTTTGGATTGGTTTTTTGAATCCGCGGTTCGGTTCCGGATTGAAGAATTAAAAATCCGTAGTCTACGGATTGGTTCCGGATTGAACCCCACGGTTCCGGATTGGAACCGATCCGAACCGTATACAAATAGTCTATATTTTTATTATACATTTTCCCCCATAGTATCTTCTCTTATTTCATATAAACTAAACTCAAACCTAAACCCGCATCATATCTTCTTTTATTACTTTTGTTTGTTAGTTTTTACTTTTAATTTGTAATGGTCTAAATATTTATGGTGAAACTAATTTTTTTATGATTGTTTAAATTTTAGAACAGTATGTTGCTATTATAGAAAAACATGTTGCTATGGTGGAACTAATATAGCGCTATGTTTATGTTTTTATGAAATTAAAATGTTATATATATATTTTTTTGTTATTTAATTATGTGAATTTGTAGTCCTAAACCGATCAAATTCGTTTTTATTGGCAAAAAAATTAATTTTTTTCAACTAAATACCTTTTTTTTCTTATCATTTTTCTAAATACAACCAAAAGTACAAGAAATTAATTTTGCTTCCTTCATTTCAGTTTTTGGTGGCAGCAGTAGGTGATAGAAGACGGGTTGAGAGAGAGAGAGAGAGAGAGAGAGAGGGAGTACAAGGCATGAGAGTGGTGTGCCATGAATAGCTGAGAGGAGTTTGGCATTTTTGGAATGGTGATATTACGTGCACCAATGTATTAATTAGTATATATTAATTGGTGTATGTAATATTGTTATTTTCGGAATTAAAATTGATATTTGAAAGAATTAATTGTTAATAATTTTTAAAACTTTGATGGTTAGAATGTATTAATTTTGTCAATGTAAATTACCTATAAATATTTTATTGAATAGATGACTAGTTTGAAAACACTATTTATTGATCCATTTTGTTTTTTTCAATATATTTCACTATTTTCGAAACATTTATTATAAATCTTTTAATATTAAACTATACTCTAGAATACTCATTAGCATTTGTTAAAAAAAAAAATGTACAAAAAACACATAGTTATATATAGGACAAATTACACTTTATCCTCTTAACTATCATCATTTTTCATTTTACAACGTACTTCCTTCATCTTCTACAAGTTTTCAATTTAACCCTTATATCTTTATTTTGTTAACAAAATTGATTGAAAAATTGCATGTAATGTACACATATCATATTTATATCAGATTTTTAAAAAGTATTTTGTCATAAATATGATATGTGCACATTACATGCACATCTTTCATCAATTTTGTTAACAGAATGGAGGCATAAGGATTAGATTAAAAACGTTTAAAAAGTAAAATGGATACATTATATCAATTTTTAGTTTGAGGGGATAAAATGAAAAATAATTATAGTTGAGAAAGGTGAAGTGTAATTTGGCCTATATATAAATAAATGGATTGAGTTTCTCTCATGTTGAGATTTTACACATAAGAGAACTTGAGAGGCCTATAAAAAACCTATCATGGGTCTTGTTTCAATAATCTGAGCCGTTCATTTTGTAGTGCCTTCAATATATATTATATATGAAATTTTTTTAATTCAATTAAATAATCGTAACTTTTCATTTTGTTGCATTTTTCTCTAAAAAAAGTGACGACAAATATATATTTGAAATAAATCATCAATTTTTTTAGAAGCAAATGCAATAAAATGAAAAAATTACGATTATATACATGACGTAATTTTTTTTTATAGATGACATATTGAAAACTCTACAAAATAAATGGTTTAAATAATTGAAACGAGACTTGTAATACGCTGTATGGGCCACTCAAGTTGTCTCATGTTGAGATGAGAAACCCAATCCTAAATAAAAGGAAAATTTTAATATACACCATTTTAAAAAAGATGTGTCATATATACTCCTAATTGTACAATTTTTTTTGTAGTTATAATTAATTTTATTTTTTAATTATAACTCATAAATTTTTTAATTATGATATTTTTTTTAATTAAGACTCCGAAATTTGAAATTACACTGTGGGGGGACATTGTGCACATAGTGTTGGGAGTGTTTGACAAGTTGGATTTTAACTTATTTTTAACTAAAATTCACAAAAGTATAAAATAGATTAAAATAGTTAATACGATAATATATTATATTAAATTTATAATAATTTCACTTTTTTATCATAAATATCACATCTAATTATAAAAAAAATTAACTAAATTCTTAAACACAAAAAATTTAATTTATTAAAATAATCAAAAATTAAAACAACCAACTAAAAACGTCCCAAACACCCACCCAGGTTTTGTCGCTCTATATTTGTGTGAGAAAGGGAAAGCATAGGAAATGCCGAAGGAAGAAGAAACACTTCTTGTCATCAGCTCACAGCTTTCTCCTTCTTACTTTCTCTGTCTTTCCCTCTCTTCCCTTCAAAAACCCTGCTTTCTCTCTCTCTAGATCTGTACTCTCTCTCTCTCTCTCTCTCTCTCTCTAAGATGGAGCCTCTCTTGCTTTGTTGTTCTTATCTGGTAAGAAAACTCTCTCTCTCTCTCTCTCTCACAGAACTCTCTTTCTCTCTGCACTTTGATCCTAATTTTTTGTGGGTTTTCTTTTTCATTCTTGCATTTTATGATTTATCCGTCTTTCATATATGTATGTGTGTATGTAAATGATTTTGACTGGTTCTGTGATAGCAATAGTGCATTTTTTTGATTTTCTCTTCACTATCTAGAGACATATCTATAGTTTTTTGTTTAATTGTTTTTTTTGCCAATTCAGTCTTCAAAACCAGATTCTCTACCCCTTGTTTGGTTTGCGAGAAAAGAAAAGTTTTCTTTTGTTCTGCTTATTATTCCTTCTGATGTTGTTTTGATACATCCCCCCCTCTCCAAAAAAAAAAAAAATATGAAAAAAAATATGAAAAAAAAAAATTTCTTTATCAAGTCGAGAAACATGGTTGCATTTAGTCGGGCTTTATATTTTCTGGGTACAAAATCATGAAAAATCATAGTTTCCAAGATTTATTTTTTTCTTTCAAATACTTTCTCGCCAACCAAACAGATAACTTTGTACTTAATTTTTAAAACTCTGATCTTCAATTACAGTCAATTTTTTGGGACATCTTTTTGTGCTTTTAGACTTTGTTGCGTAACAAACCTTAACCTATCTTTCACTTTAATTCGCTTACATGGGTCACTTGAAACCCTCCGATTTTATAGAGATTTTGTCCAAATATAGATCTGTCTTAACACAACCCTGTGTCCAAAAATCTATATAATATAACATAGCTTAAGTTCCTTCTGTATTATCTATTAATAGCCTCCAAAATTTTCAATCATTACAAGTAGTATAACATAATCTTTTCATTTTGTTCTATATTTGTTGCCATTTATGTTTGTGCATATCTGTATTCATCGTGAAATCTATATTGTTTCTTGCATTTTCTATGATTTTGATGTTAATCTATTGGTGCTTGTTATATTCAATTTCTTGATTTTCTTGATTTTTATCAAATATACTATCTTAAATTTTCTTACGATGTGTTTGTTAATATCTGCTTTTAATTGATTCTAATGATGGGTTTTTCATTGTTGTGTTCAGTTGGATTAACGCCACTAAATGATACCATGTGCTTTGAATTAGAGTGATTAGAACCCATATCGTCTCTGAAATGAATAACTTGACTGTTGAAACCGAAGATACTTTTGCCAGTTTGCTTGACTTTGCTGCTAACAATGACATTGAGGGCTTTGAACGGTATATTGAGTGTGACCTTTCAGGTATTGATGAGGTCGGGTTATGGTATGGCCGTCAAAAGGGGTCGAAACAGATGGTTCTAGAGCATAGAACTCCATTAATGGTTGCTGCTACATATGGTAGTGTTGATGTTGTCAAACTGATTCTTTCATTGTCTGATGTTGTTGTTGATGTCAATCGACCGCATGGCCTTGATAGAAACACGGCGCTTCATTGTGCTGCCTCAGGCGGTTCTATGAACGCAGTTGATGTTGTGAAACTTCTCTTAGAAGCCGGTGCTGATCCTAATATGATCAATGCCAATGGCCATTATCCTATTGATGTTATTGTAGTGTCCCCAAAATTCCAAGACTTGAAATTTTCTCTTGAGAAATTTCTCACAACCAATGATTCTGTATCAACCGCCACTTCGAATTCTAATTCTCCACCGCAATCACCATCCCTATCATCATCTTCAAACTCCAATTCTTCCCCCAACAGTTCTAGGTTCATCAATGTTACTCTTTCAGAAAAGAAAGAATACCCAATTGACCCGTCCATGCCAGACATCAAGAACACCATCTATTCAACCGATGAATTTCGAATGTTCTCATTTAAGGTCCGGCCTTGTTCTCGTGCCTACTCTCATGATTGGACCGATTGCCCATTTGTTCATCCGGGTGAAAATGCTCGAAGAAGGGACCCAAGGAAATATCACTATAGTTGTGTTCCTTGTCCCGATTTTCGCAAAGGGGCTTGTCGATTAGGGGATATGTGTGAATACGCGCACGGTGTTTTTGAGTCCTGGCTCCATCCTGCTCAATATAGAACTCGCCTTTGCAAAGATGGCACAAGTTGCAATAGGAGAGTATGCTTTTTTGCCCACACACAACAAGAACTCCGACCCTTGTATGTCTCTACCGGTTCTGCTATAATGTCCCCCTCACCGTTCACTCCACCCTTGTCTCCATCTACCAATGGCATTTCAAACATGGGTTGGCCCCATCCAAATGTCCCGGCATTGAATCTCCCAGGAAGCAACAATCATCAATCAAGTAGTCGCTTACGATCATCCCTTAATGCAAGAGACTTTGCATCAGAGGACTTAGATTTGTTGCCTGATTTCGATGTGCAGCAACAACAGCTGCTCCAAAATGAACTGTGTCGCTTTTCTCAATTGGGTATTAGTAATAATTCTTTGAACTGTTCTGCTGAGAGCTCTTCTCCCCGGTTTTCTGATCAGGCACTGGCTTCATCTGTTTTCTCCCCAACACACAAGTCAGCGATTTTCAATCAGTTTCAGCATCAGACTATTTCGCCAATGAGCCCTCGGGTTTCATTGCTTGCTCAACATGAGAAGCAAAAACAACAGTTTCGCAGCCGTAGTTTCCGTGATCTTGGCTCCAATTCTGCTAGTGATTCATGGTCAAAATGGGGCTCATCCAATGGAAAGCCGGATTGGTCTGTTAATCCTGATGAATTTGGTAGACTTCGTAGATCATCGTCGTTTGAGCTTGGAAACAATGGAGACGAGCCTGATTTATCATGGGTTCAATCACTTGTCAAAGAATCTCCACAAGAAGTTGCAGATGCAGCTGGATTTTTGAGCGAAGGCTCGAATCTGAACTCCCAGATTGAAGCAAATGATCAGTCTGTTCTGGGTGATTGGATGGAGCAAATGCAGCTTGATCAGCTCATGGCTTGGTAAAACCTTGATCATGTTTTACCAATCTTGAGCATGAAAAGCAGCGCGTTTTTGGAAAACAGTATATGTTTTTGTTGTTTTTTTATGCAATTGCAGGTTGTTTTGTAACAGATTTCCCAAACCCAATCAGTTTCAAACTTATTTTGTGAAGTCGTATTTTCTAAACATGACTTTAGGATTTTGAAACCAAAACTTTAACCCAAAAGTCGACCAGTTATATTTTGACACAACATTAGGGTTGTCACTGTTAAATTTTTTGTATTCATGTTTTGAAACCACACTTCAACCCTAGCGTCGCCTTCATGAAACAACTTGGGTTTAGAAAATAAGCTTAAAAAGGTTTGGGGTTTGGGAAATCTGTTACAAAACTACCTGCATTTGGTAAAGAAAACTGCCTGTTTTTTATTTTATTTTTTTGGATGTGGAGGATGGTGGCAGTAACAAAGGAAGGAAGGAAGGAAGGGAGCTCAAATATTCAGGAAAAAAGTAGTTTTTTTTTTTTTTTTTTTTTTTTTTTTTTTTTTTTGTTGCAGCTGAAGTCAGGAAGGATGATGGGACCCTAAACCCAAAAATAAAAAAAGCCCAGTTCCACCCAATATTCAAAAAAACTTTATGGGGATCAGATGCTTGGTGAACATTGTTCTGTTGCCTTGTGAATCTACTTTTGAAAGTATGTAAAGCATTTTGTTGAAGAAATAGTGATATCCTTCTGTTGATATGTTGTCATGTCACATATGATTCTATAATCTTTTTTCTTAAAAAAATAAATGTGAAAAGAGAAAGAAAAAATGAAATTAAAGAAAAAGAAAAGAAAAGAAAAATTGTTATGGTATTTTTTGTGTGTCATTAAATAGATTTGAATTTTCTAATGCCAAAAAATTGTTTTCTTGCAGCATTGTGTTTTTTTAAATATGTTATGGGGGAATTATGCTTTTGGTTAGTGAAGATAAAAAGCTTGATTACAACACATAGGCCAGCTTGTTTGGCCGCTTCACCAGCCGGACTGGAGTAGGATTGATGTAGGTCACACTCAGTATGTTTGGTGTTGTTTGGGAAGATTGGTTTTACAGTCTAGGCGGTTTAGTAATCTTCTCGAGTGAGTGGATTAGCTCGGTTGGAAAACGAGCGAGATTAAGAAAATAATAAACAGTTCTAGGCTATCCGGCCGTCTCTCTGAATGTTTGCCCGAACATCCGATACAATGCAATATTTTTATTTTTATTTTTTTACAAACATAGCTGGGCAGACAAAAAAATAATTGGCCGGCCAACTTCTTTGTTTTTTTAAAAACCCAAGTGCACCTTTTGTTTTAATATTTATTTAAATTTTTTTAATATAGAAATGCTTTTTTAATTTATTTTATTTTAAAATAATTTACCAATCTCATTATTAATTATTTCTCATACTATTATCAAAGTAAACATACTTTTACTTAATTCTCTCACTAACAATTTTTATATTAATAATCTTTTCGCTAATTATTTATTCACTAAAAATTTTATCTAACCTAATTTACCAAACAGACGTGGCTATAAACCTCTGTTGACCTATGGAAAAGAGAAGAGGGAGTAGATAGAAATTTTTGGTATATTCTTTTTATGCTGTTAATTCTCCTTTGTCTTCACCAAAGTAAAAGAAATGAAAAGTAGCGGGAAAAAGCTGAAGAAAAGAAAGTAGCATAACCCACATCTCAACTTTCGGTGCTGATGGATTTGTTTTTTAAGAAAAAATTACAATTCAATAATGGTTTCATAAAATAATTATACAAATAAATACAGATTCATAAAAAAATTTATTACTTTAATTATTAATATTTGTAAGTTTACCACTGATCTGAATTTTTTTTCAAAAAAAAAAAAAAAATACTGAATTGATATTTCTCCTTTTTTCTGTCCTTTTATTCTTTTTGTTAAAATAAATAATAAAAAAAGAAAAAAGAAAAAGAAAGATAGGGGAGGAAGAGAGATATCATGGGGACATATTTACGGTAGGTTGAAATTGACTCAATCTTACTTAGTGGTATTGCAGAGGAGAGCTTGGTTATGCATTGTTAATTGCAACAATGAAAGGTGTCAAGATTTTATTTTTATATTTATTTATTTATTTATTTTGTGTAGGGCTTTCTCTTCTATTTATTAATATTATCAAAGTGAACTACAGGCTTTTTTTTTTTGGATCCATGATATGTGGCATATTTAGATTATCATATTCTTTCATTTTTGAAGCTCGTGTGTCCTGCCCTTTTTTTTAAACTCTCTCGTTGTACTTTTTTTTTTTTTTTTTTTATATTTTTTCTTTACCTAGATCAATTTAATCTTTTTCATGCATAATCTAAACACAATTACCTAAAAACAAAAGGGCTTGATAGGCCCACAATTGAAAATTGTACCCACTGACGGGACACAATATAAGATTCAAATTTGAACATCACATCCGATAAAATTACAACACAAACAAACAACACCCTTTAAAGACTCATTTTGATGAGCAACAACCCTATTATTATAAGTTTGCCATTACCCTATTTTTAGGTATTTTTGGTCACCAAATCCACTAATGCTGTGTTTGGTTGGGGGATTTGGGAAGGGAAATGGAAAGGGAAATGGAAATGAAAGGAAAAGGAGAAAGAATTAATAGAATTCCAAATCCCAACTATGTTTGGTTGTGTTGGTTATAAAATAAAATTGATGTCCTAAAAGGTATCCTATTTCTTTATTTATTTCTCACCCCCTTTCTTTTCTCATATATTTTTTATTATAACCAAACATAAATAGGATTACATTTCTCATTCCTTTTCCAAATCCCACCTCAAAAACTCCAACCAAACACAGCATAAATGGATCATGGATGTGACCCAACATTTAAAGTATATTCAATTATCCAGTCAACCTGCACATGTGACACAACTAATCAAAATAACATCAAAGGTTAACCAAAACACAAATAAATAAATAAATAACATCAAAAAAGGAAAAAATAAATAAAGTACTTTATAAAACTAGAACAATCTAATGGAGTACAGAATGATATATCTGAATTCAAGTATAAAGAATGTTTATATTGTCATCTTCCCTATGCAACAACAAGGGTTCTGTAACTTTGAAACAAGATGGCTTATATATATATATATATATATTCCAAAATCATGCCCTTGATTTAGCTCTTCCCAAAAACACTGATGGTGATTTACTCAGTATTGACTCGCCAAATGGGATAAAAAAAGAAAAGACTCCCCAAATCACCATCCTTTATCCATCTTCCAAAGCAAATCCCTCGTTCCGATCTCTTGAAGCTCCTTCAAGAATCAAAGGTTAACAATCATGAAAAAACTAATTTCTAAAACACCCCCCCCCCAGATCCTTACCATGCCAGGTGTAATATCCTCTCCAGTTGTCCCAAAGGGTATAACTGTAATGACCCCATCACGTATAATGATTAGTACTCCCCAAAAAAAAAAAAATTCCCCATAACATTGTTGAGAATCATTTGGATCAATCTGCTAGTTGTTGTGAAGGCATGACAATGAGTTAATACACTCAACCAATGCTTATGAAAATGAGATGAATCCATTTTGAATGCTGTGCGACACTAAACTGAAACAACTCTTTCCTGATCAAGTCTATCATATTGTATCATGTGCTTTTATACTATAGTATTTTATTTGGATGGTCCAAGTTCTTTCTCCTCCAAAATTGACAAAAGTAAAAAATAAAATATAATAATACACAACATTAGGTATGATAAAAAATTTCCTCCTTTGGATTTTAGGCTAAGCGCAATATCAACTTGTTAAGAAGTGTATTATCATATATGCCACAATCACTTAGATGGCCATGCTTCCATGTTATAGGATTTGTAGAAAAATTCACCCATTTTTTTTTTTTAATCCCTTTCCTTTATATTGCAACTTCTGTAAGACAACATTTGAAAATTTGAGAAATGACATAAATAAATACCAAAATTTGTAGGCAGCAATCATAATCTGAGAAAGCTCCAAGGACCTGTTCCAGTCCCTATCCTGCAAATGCATGAGTATGTGTTAAAGCAAGCTTCAGTTGTCTACACTAAATTAAAACTGTCTTATTTTCTTTCTTTCTTTCTTTTTTCCCTTTGATTATTGCACTTTTTTCTTCAAAACATGATATAGAAAATCAACAGCATTTTTTTTTATAAATTTTTTCCTTTCCGGTGAACCAAGAGAAGAACAAAAGAAAGGAAAATGGAATGGTAAATGAGAGAAATTACCTCCAAAAGCCAGCAAATGCACGCAAACTCATGAAGATGGATAAAGCGATCCATATACCAACAAAACCAAAACTTGCAGATAGTAAAAACAAGCAAAGTGTGCTCACAACTGAGACCAAAACCTGCACAAGGACACAAGAAGAATATAATCTTCGCATGCAAATTCTGTATAAACAGTGTGTAGTTCTGAAGGTGCATATGGAGAACAAAAAAAATCAAAATCAAATCATGTACAAGTTGGAGACTGGAAGAAAAAGAAAGAATTCTCAGATTTCTTTTCCTCCAACTTCAGAGCATCCTAATGGATGCTCTATAGAACGAAAACAATGAGATCTTGACAGTATAAATAGGTACATAACAGCGAGCAGCCAAAAGGTTATAGACTTGCCATGGAGTAGGCAGAATAAACAAAATCAGATGCTCCAAAGTTGACTCCATCAAAAACAAATGCCAAAGCATTAATGGATTGGGTCCCTGCAACAAACTAAAGAACAAGGCCAAAAAAAATCAGCTTCAAAATTATCTGAATCTATTAAACTACTAAAAATCTTTCCATTAGAGACGCAGAGAGAGAGAGATACCGGGATGCCTAATCTTAACATTTGCAGAACATCGGGGTCATCAGTAAATAATCTTGATCCAAATTGTAATATAACAGCAACAACGACAGAAAGAACTAGGCCCAAAGCCAAACCCAACTGTAGAGTCAAGCCATTAAAATGCAAAACATTAGAAGGGTCGAAAAAGGAATTTGAGTAATGATTGGGTAAAGAAGTAAACATACCTGCAACACACGAGATGCAGTTGCTGTGGCCTTGTCAAGATCCTTTCTTGCAAATGCACTTGCAAGAATAGCCTGAAAATAAATCAAAATGACTACATATTCAGCTACTGAGATAATTTAAAATCAGACATGTTTTCAATAATTTGATGGGAGACAAGTTAGAGCAAAAAGAAAACGATATTATACACAGTAATTTCAGAAAGGACAACTGCGCATAGACTCAGAAAACAAAATGTGGTTTAATCAATTAGTTCTAACCAGGCGGGCAGGGCCAAGAAAACTAAAGGTTCAAAACCTAAAAAAATTAAAAAACAAAAAAATAAATAGATTGTTAACAGATTTGGTCAGATGCTTGGGTAGCATAACAAGATTAGAGGCACAACTAGACCTATATTTCTACTTATTCCTCAATTCAATTGTTGTCTCCAAAATCCTTAATCGATGGTCCCATTAGCATTAGTCGTAATTAGCCTTACAGATTCTACAATTTTAGTATGCAGAAAGGATATTTGAAAAGAAGCTGTTTGTACGTGAAAGTCTCGTTCATTCTCATTCTAGTACAGTGAGGTCTGAAGGGGATATTTATGCTTTAGTAAACATTGTAGGCAAATATGACCGTTGTTGAGATCTCGCACTCCGGTGAGCAACGGTTGGAGAATGGATGCTCAACGGAGGAGGAAGATCACCTGATCCGAAGCACAAAAAAAATTAAGAGTACCTCGGATCCAAGCGATGAAACAATGGCTGAGCCAAACTCAGAACCAAAAGAGGATGGTGCTAAATACAACCATGGAGACAGATCGAAGTGGGACAGGAAAGGCACATGATACTGATTGCGGCCATGCAATCGAAGGAGGACAACCTCAAGACAGCAAAGGGGCATCTGGGGATTGATGACCGGAACCCTTTACCTAACCACATCACTACCCATATGGATTTGCTCATCTGGAATTGTAGAGGTGCAGGGAACAAAAAGTTTAAACGCAGCTTGCGGGAGTTGGTCCAAATTCACAAGCCAGATATGCTGGTTCTTATGGAGACAAAGGTGGAACTAGCTTCCATGGGTATGTTTTTCAACCAGATGGGATTTACAACTTCAGCTCATGTTGATCCTATAGGCCGGAGTGGAGGTATTTGGATGATCTGGAACCCAACTTCTGTTAATGTTAGAGTAACTGAGGCAAGCTCACAACTTATCACGGCCAAGATAGCCAAGCAGGATTACCCTGAGTGGCTTCTCTCCGCAGTTTATGCTAGCCCGCTGAGCAGTAAGAGGGAGGATCTTTGGGAAAGTCTGGAGCACATTGCAAAGCATAATACTAAACCTTGGATGGTAGCTGGTGATTTTAATGACTTTGCTAGCCAGGATGAAAAGAGATGCCTTACAGGTACTTGTCTTAGCAGCCAAGACCAAAGGCGAACCAAAACTTTTGCTGATAGGATGAATCGGTGCAATCTTATGGACATGGGATGTTCTGAACCATGGTTAACCTAGACGAATAACAGACAAGGATGGGCCAACACAATGGTAAGACTAGACCGAGCTACGTGTAATAGCGAATGGAGAACCAGCTTTCCCGAAGGACTGGTTCGAAACCTTCCACGAACTTACTCTGATCACTCACCAATGATGATATTTACTCAAGGTATGTCCCCTTACACCCCTTCTTGTAAACTTTTCAAGTTTGAGGCTGCTTGGATCTCTCATGAAGAATTCCAAGCAGTAGTGGAGGAAAATTGGTCTCTGATCACTCACCAATGATGATAATTACCAAGGTTCTCTTTTATCTAAGTCAAATAATTTTGCTTACAAAGCCAGCATTTGGAATAAAGAGGTTTTTGGCAATATCTTTCGTAGGAAAATATGGTTGCTTGGGAGGATTGAAGGGATCCATAAATCCCAAACAAATATCTATTCCCACAACCTTCATGTGTTGGAAATGGATCTCATTGATCAGTATAATAAAGTTCTGTACCAAGAGGAAATTCTTTGGTTTCAAAAATCTAGATCTAAGTGGATTATCCAACGGAATAGAAACACCAAATTCTTTCATCTCCTCACCTTGACTAAAAGGAGGAAAAGAAAAATTGATGTGTTGAAAGGTGAGAATGGTGTTTGGGTTGAAAACCCTGATGCTCTGAAACTGATGGTGTCTAATTACTTTACTGATTTATTTACTCAGAGTACTACCACCATGTTGCATCACTAGAATAATTTGGCTCCTCATACTGTTAGTAGTGATGAGAATAGGGTGTTGATGAGCACTGTCACCATTGAGGAGGTTTGGAGGGCTGTGAAGAATATTAAGGCTTTCAAAGCCCCAGGTCGAGATGGCTTCCAGGCTATTTTCTATCACACTTATTGGCATGTGCTTGGTCCCTCTGTGTTTGAATTCATCAAAAACTGTTTGACAACCACTCCATTCTTGCTACCATTAATAGAACCCTGGTTGCGCTTATTCCCAAAATTGAAAACCCTGAGATTATTAAACAATTTCGGCCCATCAGTTTGTGCAATGTGACCTACAAGATCATAGCAAAAATTCTGGTTAGTAGAATTAGACCTCTTCTTTGCAATCTTGTGAGACCTAACCAAAGTAGCTTTGTTCCTGGCCGATCCACAACTGATAATATTATTATCTCTCAAGAAATTATCCATACTTTAAAGTCTAAGAAAGGGAAAGTGGGAGGTATGATTCTCAAAATCGACTTGGAAAAAGCTTATGATAATATCTCATGGACTTTCTTGAATCAAACCCTTGATGAGTTTGGGTTTGATAAGAACCTCATTGATATGATTATGTGTTGTGTAACTACTGTGAGCACAGCTATTTTGTGGAATGGTGAACCTTTGGAGGAATTTAAACCTGAGAAGGGATTAAGGCAGGGAGATCCTCTTTCTCCCTATTTGTTTGTGTTGTGCATGGAGCGGCTGTCTAACATGATTAGTGTTAAAGTTGCAAAAAAGACATGGAAAGGCATTAAACCCTCTCGAGGGGGCCCATGCCTAACCTATCTCTTTTTTGCTGATGATTTAATGCTGTAAAGAAAAGCGGATATGCGAAATTGCAATACAATTATGACCACTTTGGAAGAATTTTGAGAGATTTCTGGGCTTAAAATCAATACCCACAAATCCAAGGTGTTTGTGTCTTCTAATATTGATAGAAGAGTTGCCAGAGATTTGAGTGCTAAGTGTGGCATTCCCTTAACTTCTGATTTAGAGAAGTATCTGGGAGTCCCTCTTCAGCATGGGAGAGTTACTAGAGAGCATTTCACCCATATTCTTGAGAAAATGCAAAAGAACTTAGCTGGGTGGAAAACCAAAGTGCTTTTTCTGGCTGGTAGAACTACTCTTATTCAAGCTGTGAACTCTGCCATCCTTGCATATACTAAGCAAACTACTGCTGTCCCAAAGAAAATGTGTGATGAGATTGATAGACTCAACAGAAATTTCTTATGGGGTGATACCCCAGACAGAAGGAAAGTCCACTTGGTTAAGTGGAATATGGTTTGTAAGCCTAAGATTGAGGGTGGGTTTGGTTTAAAGAAAGCTAGAGACCAAAATTTGGCCTTGCTGGCTAAACTTGGTTGGAAACTCTTGAATTAAGAGGATAGCTTATGGTGTACTGTCCTTAGAAACAAGTACTTGAGCAACACCCCTTTTATAATTGGCCTACAAAGAAGAATGCTTCCTTTGTGTGGAGGAGCATTCTTCAAACCAGGCATATCCTTAGAAAAGGGGTGAAGTGGAATATTGGCAATGGTGCTTTGGTAGATATTTGGAAAGATTGGTGGTGTGGGGATAAATCCTTTGAGGATGACATGCCCAATCCACCCCAATCCATCCATACATCTGCTGCAAGCCTTGGTTCAGTGGTTGAGTATTTGAATGATCAAGGAGGATGGGATGAGGCAAAAATCAGTTTGATGCTACCTCCCAGTATCGCCACTGTTGTCTTGAACACTCAACCTCCTGTTAACTCTCTCTTGGATAGTCCTAATTGGAGAGGAACTCAATGTGGTGAATTCTTTGTGGCCTCTGCCTATGATCTAATCATTGGTCCTCAAAGGGGTGAAGCATATTGGGGTTGGCTCTGGAAATTGAGACTACCACAGAAACTTAAAAGTTTCATGTGGCTAGTCTTACATGGAAAATTGTTAACTAACCAAATGAGGATGAAAAGGAGGTTCTGCCCTGATCCCATCTGTCCTCATTGCTGTGGGTGGAAGATATGCAACATCTATTTAAAGGCTGTTAGAAAGCTAAAGAAGTATGGTTGGCTTTGTGTGGTAGAAACTGGTATATTGATATGACCAAGCAGACTTGGCAACAGTGGCTTCTTTCAAACTCTAAAAATAAAAGTCACTTTAATGACCATGCCACTTGGTCCTCTGTGTTCATTGTGACTTTATGCAAAATCTGGAAAAACAGGAACTCTTTTGTTTTTGATAATATCTCTCCTAACTGTAATGACAGTCTAAAATTCATTCTTGATTATTCAAGAGATATTGACTGGGCTTTTAAAGTTTCTATTATTAATCCTAGGCCTGCATTTAAACTGATTCACTGGGTATTACCTCCTGCAGGCAAACTCAAACTTAATGTGAATGGCAGTAGAAGACTGGCAGATGGAGGAGGATTTGGTGGAATCTTCAGAGATGAAACAGGCAGCTGGGTTTGTGGCTGCTATGGGAAGATGGACAGTGGCATCAGTTTGGAGACACAGCTGTGGGCTCTCTACAACGGTCTAACAGTGATATTACAGGAAGGGATGCATGGAGTGGTCATCGAAACTGATGCACAGCAGGTGGTGCAACTGATGGAAGTAGATGTAGCAGACAAATTTCCATTTAAAAGGGTTGCTGGAAGATGCCAAGATCATCTTCAGGGGTTGTGAGTGCACCATACAACATGTATTCAAGGAAGGGAACCTGTGTGCCAATGCTTTGGCCAAACTTGGAGCTGAGCAACCTGAAGATATTCTGGTGGTGAATGATCCACCAGCCGAGATCCGAAGCTACCTGGCAGCTGATATGATAGGGCTCTCTAGAGAAAGAGCCTAGCTTTGTTTACTTTCTGATGTACCAAAAAAAAAGAAAAGAAGCTGTTTGTCGTGGGAATCAAAATTCGTGTTATTTGGCTGACGGAAGGTTGATGCCACTCAAGGAATGAAGACTGACAGGAGGTCAATGGAATTAGAGTGAAAACAAGTGGATTGTTGTGGACTACAAAAACCAAGATTGAGAATGCATATGAGGTACTAGCTGCAAGACTTCTGCCTTGAATCTTGTATTAATCCCTTTCATACAGTGGATTATCTTGATCAGTTTTACCCTTCAAAAGGGTTTCATGTAAAAAATATGTGTGTTCATATTGTGCACAATTTACTCACATTATTATCATGGTTAATACATTCACACACTCGCAAATAAATTTAATTGGTAGGTATTTTCATTACCAAGTCTACTGACACTCTGTAGGCCGGATTGAGTATCCATTGTGTATTTTCACTATAATATGTTTTTGTCAGACTAAAGAATCGCTCCGTACTTTTTCATGACGACTTTTGTTCCTTGCAGAAGTGCACTTATTTTCTTGTTATTATTAAATGTATTAAGAATGGCATCAATGTACACCATGGCTATTGCATCAAACTTAAAAACAATCTGGGAGGAAAAAAAAATTCTTACTTGTCCAGCAACAGCTAACCCGTCGGCAAGCAAAGAGGCTGCCAGCCAAACCTGCAAGCAAATCTGAAATGCAGCCATGGATGTTGATCCCAGCCTTGCAGCCATGGAAGCTGCCAGAGTCACACAGAATGTTGCAGCTATTACCCTCATCAATAACAGAAACCCTGATTTCAGAAAATGAATGAAAAGCCATTAGTTAATGGGAGTGCATTCATCAGAAAAATTATATCACAGCCCAAAAAGAACTTATTCAATGTCACTTGTGCCTATATAGGACAAGTTATTCCCATATTATTCAAATAACTAAATTAGAAAAGCTATTCAGTCTCATTCCAGCACTGAGCCCTTTGTATAAGGAATCAAAATAGTTACAAGTCAGGCTCCATTTTGGAAAATTAAAAACTTTTGGTGGTCACGAATGTACTCAAAAGAAGAAGATAGCACCAATTTAGAACAAGGTGAGAGAAAGCAGATAAGAAGGTTTGATCATGCGCATGAATAGCAATGACTACAATAGCAGGGAGCAATTATGAACCCTCACCATTTTTAAGAAACCGACTAAATTGTAGATCTTTGATACTTGGGGGTAAGAGATCAACTTGTCCCATTAATCTCCACAAGAGTACGAGGGAGATTAAGTACCTGCAAATACCATAAAACAAATGACGAGCAATGAAGGCACCAAGAGATGCAATGCCTCTGACAATATATTTTTGGCAAAACTGGTAGATGAAACATGATTGGAAGAAAGATTAAACTTACTGGGAAATAACATGCGCAATAGCTGCACCACTAACACCCATACGGAATACGAAGATAAATATTGGATCCAAAATGATGTTTGCTCCATCTCCTAGCACTGCGTATAACCAGAAAAAGTCAATCAGATGCAATATCAAAAGTCCATAAATATATATATATATATATATTCATGTTCAACAATTACCCAACAATCAAAACTACTTGTCAGTAATATTAAAGAGAGCACACTTTTAGTCAATAGACTAGTATAGGGAAGACAGTTAATATATATTTTGCGATAAAATACACATATGGTCCCTAAAGAATGGGCTCCGTGTCACTTTGGTCATCCAAGATTCAATCTTTTAACATATAGATATAATAAAAATTTAAGTACTGTAAACCACAAATGAAGTTGCACCCAGTGCACAAGGCTCCTACTTATAGTAGGATGCAGGAGAGGTAGTAGGTAAGCAACCTTTCCCCTCGGTCCAATTGATCTGTATAAGTGATCCACCAATTGTATGGTTGACATGCCACTTTTACCCGTAATAGAAATGCCGTCATAATTATAATAGACCAAGATGAAAGAATTATCAAAATTACTAGAACCCCAAGGCATGCCTGATAATGTTCATCATATCACAAGATAATGAAGGAAAGGATTATGGAGGCATACATGACATCATCATCCCAAAATGACCTCTTTTTAAATTCATTGCGTGGTGATTAAAATGTCCTCAAAACATTGTAAAATGTTTTCTATTGATTCAGGGTGATTCCAGACACACCATGAAGACCAAAGGTTCCATTTTGTTTACAGAAAAATATGACATACAAGTCCGACTCTCTACAATCAAACCAACACCCAAAAACAAAAAAGAAGAGAATAAAAAATATAAAAACACTATTCTGAAAGCCTGGTGCTGATAATCTATGTGCAACATATACAGACTTGTTTTGAAGTCAAAGCAATGACAAAATGTTTCAATTTCTAAATCCATAGGACATCCAACTGCATTCTCAACAAGTCATGTTGATTTGGTTATTAACACATCAAAGTCAATAGAAATCAGTAATACTTGCAGAAGGTAAAGCTTTGCCCACTACTTAAACCAAGAAGGAAAAATATATAAATATAGAAAGAGAAAGGATTGTTTACAGGTTGCATATAAAGGAGCTTTTGTATCCTTAAATACTCGAAAGACCCCTTGCATGGCCAAAGAGAGAAGAACGGCAGGAGCACCGAGCGACCTCAATGTCAAGTATTGTCTTGCTGGATTTAGCATTGGAGAATCCTAAATGGACAAAAAAGTACAACAGTTAATATTTATTAGTTAATAATAGTAAACAATACATAGCAAGAACATGTGATGATAGTCGTGCCAGTATTCAGCTTCAACTTCAGCATCTTCAAAATTGGATTTAAGAAGTATATGCCAATAACAATTCGAACCAATTCAACCAGATAGTGGAGTGCTTGGTCTTAAACTCCAACTTTAAATAGTTCTGGTCTCTCAGACATGAAATAGAATAGTGAAAATCAAAATAACAGTATTATTATACCCTTTCAGAAATTCAGCTCCATTGAATCTTGGAATCAGTAAGGTAAAAAAAAGAAGGATAAGGAAAATAATCCATCTACATTCTAAGGGCAAATATATTTCTTTAAAAGACACAATGCTACTAGTCAGGGGAGTAGGATTTCTCATGTAAAAAGGTGAGGACTAGCATTTTTTTTTGTTGTTATTTTTTGGAACAATTGAGGACTAGCATATGACAAAACTATAGGATCCTCTATTATTCTTCACAAATTCAATATCAATCCAAGCCACGGCCCCTAATGTACCAAAAAATCAATATCAATCTGATATCCCTACGTATCTTGAAACGAAACAAAATTGGTGCCATGTTACATAGCGTTAAACCAAACTCCACTAGTACAAAAAACAAGACGATGGTCATGGGAGAATTTCAACTGGCTTAAAAGAAGCTCCTGTGAGTTGATATGTGCGATGCAGTTTCATAGTTCACATGTGAATTTAAAATGCAAGGTCTAAACCTAACTCAGTTGATGAGAACAACAATGACGAATGATTTGATTTTCCAAAACTCATTTGCTTTGGATTTGTTTACAGTTTCTATCATCACCAAATTTGAATTTATGTGCTAAGCCCTTCATTTTCTCCTCAAGTGCCTTCGATTAAAACCAAATCAATCTTTACAAAACAAGCAACTGAATTCAAGTAACTCTAATAATACAAAATAACACTTACAGATTTGATGCCCATGTACTCCAATATTGGTTTTGCAGAAACAATTAGAAATAAAGCTTGGAAAAGGCCAAGAACAGCTCCAATAACCAAAGCTGATGAAGCGGAAGGAATATGCCTTCTCTGATTAGTACTGGTTGGAGACTTGTATGTATCTGCTTTATCACCACAAAGCCAAATAATGTTAAAACTTAAAATCAACAATATAATTCGGAAACTCATGTATAGTGAAGGTCCCATAAGAATGCAATTTATTTGCATACCAAGCAGCCCTTTAAAAAAATAAGACGAAAGAAGAAGTGAAGCATACCAACTCTTGGTATCAACTCTTCCTTTTCACCATCTCCCGGAAAACTCCTTTCAGGTATTTCAATATCATTCTCTTTATGAATCAAACTTCCAACTGCATCTTCCTCAGCAACAAAAGAAGGTGTAACACTAACAAGTGGGAAGATCGCAATCTTCGATGCTTGATTAAAAATAGCAATAGCAACTCCCACAGCAGCAAGCTCCACGGGACCTATATGGATGATGAAGTAAAGCGGAAAACAAAGATTATTTAGGATATGGAATTAAATAACTTAATTTTCAATTATATTATATTGTAAGTTAATGTATGTAGGAAGCTAATACAGTAAGCACATGGTATATACACCAGATAGATGGACAAGACCTACTTGGGTGAAAAGGGGATTCTTGACCCGATTATGTTTTTAAAAAACTTATTTAGACCAAAGGGCCTCCTTTTAACTTATTTACCAAACCATGTGAAAGCGTATTTGTTAAACACAATTTCTACCTTCTTTTGCCTAAATAAAATAATATCTAAGAGCGCAATTAAAAAAATCCAAAAAAATATATATATATTTTGCTGACAGCATGGATGCTAACCATGCCTTCTGAAATTTGTTCTTAGCACCCACGTTTTCAGCCAATTTTGATCCTTTTTTGTGAAGAAAGTGTGGTTGTTAACCGCGCTTACGCTTTTTACATTATATATATATTTATGCCAACACTTAGCCATTAGAACTCTCTCTTTTATTTTTCTTTCCTCTTTCTTCTCTCAATGTTCTATTGAAAACATTATTAGCAACCACGCCTGCAGGACATAGTTTGGATTTTTTTACTGTGCTCTAAATATTATTTCGAGAATGGATAGGAGTTGCACCGATAGAAGATAAGTTCAGAAAGAATAGATTGAGATGGTTTGGTTATATACAATGGAGACCAACAAGAGATGCGATACAGTGACGGTAGACGGTAGTGTTAGGGGAAGGGGTAGAGGTAGGGGTAAGGGTAGACCTAGATTAACGTGGACTAGTGTAGTAGTGTAGTAAATAGAGATATGAATCTCCTTAATTTGACTAACGAAATGGCTTTGAATAGAGTCAAGTGGAGAAAAAGGATTCATGCAGCCAACCCCATTTGATGGAACTTAACGCTTGGTTTGATCTGGTTTGATTTCTAAATATTATTTTATTCCAACAATACAAGGCAAAATAATGGTTGCGAAACCAGCTTTCAAAAAATTGTCTAGCAAATGCGTTTTGACGATGATAAATAAGTTGAAAAGGGACCCTCCAATTTAAATAAGTTCTTTAAAATAAATATATAAAAAAAGGTTCTCAAGTCAAGATCCGTGAAAAAAGAGTGATTGACAACATATGAACATTTATGCACCATTTTTTAAGAGACATTTTGAATTCATGCAAAATTATAAACCTCTACCCTTTGTATTATTTCAATAACATTATGAGATTACAGGCTAGAACTCAATAGATTAATGCCCATTTAAATTAAAACTTGGAACATTGGTCTGCTAGCCTTATATATCCAAACTTGCATATACCAAGAAAAAAGTACCAAATTTCAAAATTTAATTTCTTGTTCTGTGTAATCTCATTGAAACAACTTGGGCATATATGGAAGTGGGACTCAAATTACTCTTCTGTTTAGACAAGTATATCATAGACCAATGAAGAAAGAAACATATTCATTGTTTCACATTTATCAACACGCATAAAATAACGTCAACCAGGATCAACTAAAACACAGAACAAAATAACGAGTGACATACCTATATGGCCAATGAAAGCTGTGTCGATTAGAGAAGCTATAGGGTCTGCTGTTAAAGCCAGCGCTGCCGGGAATGCAATAGCTGCTATCTCCAGACCCAGTTCATCCCTCTTGAAGACATCTCTAAACAAAATGTTGTATAACCACCAATTAACTTCAAAAATAAAAATAATAATAATGAAATAAAAAAAAATCTTTTTACTCCTTAGGCCATCTCCAGCCCTTAAATATTAACTCAAATTTGAGTAAAAGCTGAAGTGATGGCAGACTTGTAAACTTGAAACCTACAAAATAACTTTAAAATTTTTTTGAGTCTCCCTTGATTTGACTAAAACTCAATTTGATATAAGTTTAAGTCAAGAAGTGGAGAGGTTTTTGTTGTGATTTTTACCCTAATTTAAATTTGATATAGGCTTGAGTTAAGGGTTGGAGATATAGTAATGAACAATGAGAATAATAAAAGGCTATATGCACATATTGATAAAAATAAAAAATTTGCTGGGATATAGATAATTACACACAGAAACAAAAACAAACAAATATGCATCTAATGCACATAGTTATATTATTCAAACTATTTAAAACAGAAACAATTTGAATCCAACCCAAATGTTGATAACAAACGAATCCTAAGAAAGGAAAAAATTGTTGAGAGGGAATTGAAAGGGACCCAAAAGTCCAGTGGTGCTTATGAAGGGGTAACAACGAAGCTTTGATTGTTATCATCGATTTGTAGCCGGGATTTTTGGCCCCATTGGTATTTTGGCATTGCTCTCCATTCATAGGACTTTGTTTTCAAACCATTCAAAATGAAAAAAATATTCAACAATTTTGATTTTATTTGATTTGGTTTAGTTTTAAAATTATAATTTAAATGTGAAATTATGTGGTGGTTTGGAATGATCTAAACAAGTACACTTTTTGACTTTTTATGAAGTATGAGTTGGGTTTGAAATAATGTGGTAGAGAGATGATGTGACTTAAATAAGATAATGTGAATAAGATAGTGACTTTTTGACTTTTTAAAATTATGACAAACAATGCCATATTTTAAAAGATAAATTTTTTAAATGAGTTTAGAAAAAGAAAAACTTATTTGATTATGAATTTTGAGAGGGAGATTTATGACCTGGTACAGGCCGAGCTAGTTTGGGCCTGAGTCAAGGTTTTTGCTCGGTTAGATGTAAGATACGCGCTGGACCGAGGTTTTAGCCTGGTCAAGTTGGGACAAGTCTAAGGCACTAGCCCGATCTGGAGATGTGTGTTATGCTAAGTCGAATGAAATTTGTCCTCAAAAGACCAGGTTCGACCGAGCAAAAGCTCATTGTGGAATGTGGAGCTCGATTGAGCCCACACTCCAATTTGATCGACGGGACCGAGTAGGTAGTGCGGTCCCAAGGGAAGGTTATGGCAGCACGCTGGGCACAGCTCAGTAAGAAGTGTTATGTGGCATGTTTGGTTTGCAAGAAGAAAATTCCGCCGTTCGTACATGTTAATATCGTTAGGCAGTTTTGCCATTTGGTGTTTGGCGGTATTTGTGCTTACACGTGGAAGATGGTAAGAGGGGAACATATTCGTGCGTCAAGAAGAGGATAGATATAAATGGGCACGCATAAACTATATAAGCGGTGCTACGTATTCATGCGCAGGTCTGGATTATCTGGTTATTAGAGTTACCTACTCCTCTATCTCCTATCTTTTTGCTTCTCCTCTCTTTGTGTGTGCTAATTTGACCGTTGGAGGGGTTTTCCGGCAGCACACTCACTGGATAGCTCATCAT